CGCTATTCTCCAACGAGTCGATTTGTGTTTGAACCAAGACGTCACTAAAAAGGACGGGAGGATCATTTCCGATGAAGTTCTCCTCGATTTTCCTTCTCTCAAAAAGTGGGACAGTTACATCAACTTCATTGCAGGAAAGCACACACACACAAAGCAGTTGTATGAGACAATCCAATATGTCGAATTGAACTGGCTGATCCATTTTGAGCTTCACACCCCATTTGTCTTGTCTTACTATAAATACTGGACTGAACTTGTTCCCAAAGAGTTTGTCATCATCAATTTCACTCAACCATTATATTCATGTTTTCCACACAAAATTAACACACAGCGACGTGCCAAAGTTTCCAGGCTTTGAGTTGTTCAAAATGGACATCTTCCGGTTGGTCAGCATCAAGTTGAAAGAAGAAGCGCCACTGACACAAGAGATGGCTGCTGTGCTCGTTTGTTTCGGGGTGTTACACAAAGACACATTACAGGCATTTTTGGAAAAGATGAAAGAAAAAGAGGATATTTTAGGAGATACTGGAAAGAAGTCACTCTTCGGGTTTTACCACCTGATCTTTGACGAACTCAAGTCCAGAAAAATAATCCCAACAAAGTACCTCGATCTTTCAAAGACTGGTTGTGCCGCAATTATTTGAAAGGTCTGTAATTTTGGTCTATTTACTCATAATTGCGTAAATCCTTTTTTATCGGAAGCATTTTAACCATTTTGTGTTGGAAAAATGTGATTAAAAGAAAATAGATTCCGATATCACCAATATGACACTTTTAACAGATTTCGTTATTAATTGTATTGATATTATATTGTTCGTTATATAATAATAAGCAAATAATAAATAATTCTTATTTATCAACAGTAGAATACTATTCTTCTTTTTATAAAGGTATTTTTTAACTAATATGTAATTAAAACCATAATAATAAAATACCATTACCTTCTTTCAACAAGTATTTTTATTAAAATAATATAATAAATATAAATAGTAGTATTAAATAGAAATGTTAAGATTTTTATATCTTTTATTATAAAATATAGTTTAAAAAATGAAGAACGATGAAATTAGAATATGAAGAAAAGAAAAGCAAAAAAGAAGACCGCAACAAGATTGCCAGAGTCTGCAGTATCCTTTTCGTTCTTTGGCTTCACATAAACTGCTCCAGTTTCAGTTTTCAAAGCAACGATATTATTTGTTTCGACGAGAGTTGATTGACATATGTTCTCCGAATTGTTTGTTGTGCAAATTGTACAATTGTTGAAGTAAGTCACTTTCAGTTTGGTGCAAGTCGCGTCTTCATAAAACTGAGCTTGAATCATTGTTAACGACTGGTTGAAAAAAGCCTTTACATACATACCATCCTGATTAAAAAGATCGTCTTTGTGACACTCTGACTTGAGGCATTCAAACTGGCCTGTTTCACATGGTGTCCTTCCACAAAATCCATACGAAGGAACTGCGTCAGTAATTGTGAAAGTCTTATCCAATTTGGATGTGGTTTTGTCGTTTTTGCAGTTGTGGTCAGTATATTTTTCAATAACTATTCCTCCATTCTTTTCCACATATTTGAAATAACTTCCATCCGCCTTTTCGTAACAATGAGAAATTGTTGCAATGACAAACTTTTCTCCTGTTCCTGTTGGGTACGAAAGGTACTTCGCACACGAAAGAGCAATTAGCAGATAAAGAGAAAACATGATTGAAAAGCAACGATTAAAGATCGTTTTATTTCAAATCTGTCGATTTTTTTTTCGAAGAAGTTAAAAAAGAAAATTCCAAATAAAAAAGTGGTGTTTTAATTTGAAAGTTCAGGATTATTAGGTATTTTTCACTGAGATTTTTTATTCTTTCATGACATAAATATTTTTCGTTGTTTATAATCAAGTTTGGAGTTTTCGATGTTTGTTATTTAATGTTTTTTTTATAAAAAATAGCCGACAAACCATCTAAAATAATGGGATTTAGGTGAAATTTTATTTAATAGTAAAACAAGTTTTTTTTTGGTAAATTTTTAAAAATATTTCAATTGTTAATATCTCAATAAATAAAGTTGAAGAAAAGATAACTTTGTTTTTTCTTGTCTTTAAGGACAAACTCTAAAAAAAGACACAAATATAATTTTTAAAAACTTTAGAACATTTATTAAAAATTATTAATATTCACATCATTATTTATTTTTTTATTAAAAAGTATACCTTTGGTAGTCAATTTTGTCAGCCCGAAATAGAGCAATTTACAAAAAATGAAAAGTTTTGTGTAGTTTATATTTGGGTTTTTTCCCGTTTTTTAAATCTTTTTTATTATGTTAATTTGAATGTTATTTCATTTCAACAATTTTTAAAACCGCCACGTCACCAATGTTTTAAGCATTATCTGCTATTGAAAAAAACGGACCAATCAGATGTGCCTTTTTGTTTTGTAGAAGCCACCAGTTTATGTGGCATTTCAATTTACAAATAAAAAAATATAAACAAAAATATAAATAATGTGGAATTTTGATCAGTAATTACGGGATATAATACAATTATAATTATTTTTGTTTGTTTTGCCACAGAAAAACATTTTAATATATTGCTTCAGTTTTCCAATTCATATTTTTAAAGATAAACTTATATTGTAAGTTGAAAAATCACTTCCTTTCATTCAAAAAACAGTGTAAATTAATTTAAGTTTGTTATTACAAAAAAAACAGTCGAGAAAATATGGAGTTTATATTTTCAATTTAATATTTATAATTGAAACGTGTATTAAACATAATAATTTGTTTAATTAATTGTTTCAAATTTCATTATTTAAATATATTGATGAATAATTGTTCATTTCGAATGTAGTCGATATTATACCATACCAATATTTTCTGTGTTATTTATTAAAATCATTTTTCATTTCATTTCTAAAAATTTCAGGATATGTAATGTTTAAATAAAAATCCAAATCCTCTGTTGATCCAGGGCATTTTTCTAACAACTTTTTTGCATAACAAGATGCAAAAACTCCACATGAAATACCGTCTTTTTGTTGTTTAACATCTGCTTTATAATAATTTACATGTTTTAATTCAATCAATATTTTGGTAAGTTTTAAAGCTGTTTTTTCTAGGTAAAGGTCATACAATTTGGATGTTAGCGAGTTTATTCCCACGATAATTTTATCAGATCCTCTAACAATGTACAACAACATAAAATGCATACCATAGAACACTGGAAGTATTACACTTGTAATGTTAGATGAAATGTTATGCCAATTTTCAATAAAACGGGTTTCGTTAAACGTGTGTCCATCAAAGTGAATCCAACTTAACATCGTTATAGGATTTTTCCATTCTATTGTGTTAATTTCATTTATTTCATTTCTATAATCTTCTAAAATCCAAGTAGTCAACATTTCATTTGGATTATTTAATATTAAATAAGTGTATGTGTATTTAATTTTTGTATTTGCCAAAATTACATTTTGTTTTTCTATAGATTTGTTTTCTTTTTGTTTTATTGTTGCAACAACTTCCTCAAACTTGTTATTATTTCTTTCATTGCAATTGTTTAAATTCAATAATTCATAACCACATTTATTGTATTCAGTAAAAATGTTATCATTTATACCGTCTAACCAGAACCAGTCTCTACTCGAGCAATCTGTTAAACCACTTCGTATTGAATGATTGGTATTACAATTTTCTGAACTAAAGAAGTTGGTGTATAATTGTGGAATAAATTGACTCACTGTTATTTCTCCTTCTTTTTCATTATCATCAACATAATATGAGTCACTTAAACAATCACAATAATAACTTATATGAGTATTTGTGTTTGAAACTTCAAACTCTCTTGCATCATTTGGAAAGTGTACCTTTCTTTTGCACAATTCCACCCATTTAAAAACATGATTATGGTATGCAAAGGTATCACTTTCCGTTATACTCATCAATCCAGCACAAATAATTCTTTTAAATACATGACAACATCTTCGATTATCAAAAGTTGCTGGCACTTTTAAATTATCAAAAAATTGGACTTGTTGAAGAGCTTCCTCAAAATCGATTTTTGAATTCATACACCTTTGAATATAAGATTTCGCTTGATAAAAACATTTTTCAATTGCGTTTAGTTGTGGAGTATATGGTACATTGTAAGTCACATGTATTCCACAACTCTCACACAATTCTTCTATTCCTTTTTTATGAATACCCGCGTTATCCAAAATAAAATTTACGAAGTTATATTTATACCATTTATGTACTTGTGGTATAAAAACCTTTTTTAGACAATCAAGAAAATCTTCATTTTTGTTAGTAGTTTCTCTGATTCTAAAAATTAATTTATGTCCCGGTGCCATCATTGCAATAATCGTGAACGCATTCCCTCTGATGGTAGGAAAAATTATATCACAACTTTCTCCTATTTTAGATTTACCTTGAGTACGCGATAAATTTGTGTCAATACCCGCTTCATCAATATACACAAAAATGAAATTAAAATGTAATAAAATATCCATGTGTTGAGCATAAACATATCGTTAATTAATTCTTAAATCTGTGTTTCTTTGTAATGGTTCTTTTTTATGTTTTTCTTTTAAAAGTTGTTTTTACGAATTATTACTTCAACACTACTTCTTGAAATTTTAGATTCTTCTACAAGTTTGGTTGGATCAATACCCAACAAACTTGAAACGTTTTTAAAATAAAAAGCTCTTTCTTTAGAGACTTCTTCAGAAATTTGGAGTGCTGTTTTTTGAGGAAACTTTTCAATTTTATTAATGACCATATATATTGTATCAATATCAATTTTGGTGTTTCCTTCTTTTCTACCTCTTTTTAAACCATTTATTTTGTCGTTTGGACGATTAATTACACGTTTGACATCTCTGGGATATATATCAAATTCAGTAGCTGTACTTTTTAAATCCCCCAAATGTCATAATGAGTTTTTATAGAAATGTTATGACAAAATCTATTATATTTTTTAGGAGTTTCAAAAACAAATGGGTAGTTATTTGTTTTTTGTGTTGTTGTTGAAACAAGTTGTTGAGGACCTGATATTTTTTTTCGATATAAACAGCTTTTTGTCTTGTTTTGAAATCTTTAAATAGTGCATCTTTAAAATGAAAATGTGCAAGTAAATTTTGACTAAAAAGGTGTAAGTTCAATAATATGGAATCAGAAGTAATTGGTAGAGAAAATATGTTATTATAATCGATGACTTGACTAATATTTTCAACCATTATTGGTGGTAATACATTTTTATCAAAATTAGAAGGTGTAATATTGGTTTGTTTGAAATTCAATTGAAATATCTTTTTGTCGTGGCGATATTGTTTGGTTTTTGTTTCAGTGTTTTTGCTCAAATGAAAGAAAAATGGATGGTCTTTCATTGCAACAAATTGGTTTATAAGTTTACCTTTTTAAGTTCCTTTTTGGTTTCAATTTGATTTGAACGTTTGCAAATTAACAAATGTTTTATTATATATGTAAAAACCTAATTAATTGGGTGTTATATTGTGACCATTATTATTATGTTGTAAATTATTGATTTTTAATTTAAAGAATAAACAAACCCCATATTTTCTCGACTGTTTTTTTGTAATAACAAACTTAAATTAATTTACATTGTTTTTTGAATGAAAGGAAGTGATTTTTCAACTTACAATATAAGTTTATCTTTAAAAATATGAATTGGAAAACTGAAGCAATATATTAAAATGTTTTTCTGTGGCAAAACAAACAAAAATAATTATAATTGTATTATATCCCGTAATTACTGATCAAAATTCCACATTATTTATATTTTTGTTTATATTTTTTTATTTGTAAATTGAAATGCCACATAAACTGGTGGCTTCTACAAAACAAAAAGGCACATCTGATTGGTCCGTTTTTTTCAATAGCAGATAATGCTTAAAACATTGGTGACGTGGCGGTTTTAAAAATTGTTGAAATGAAATAACATTCAAATTAACATAATAAAAAAGATTTAAAAAACGGGAAAAAACCCAAATATAAACTACACAAAACTTTTCATTTTTTGTAAATTGCTCTATTTCGGGCTGACAAAATTGACTACCAAAGGTATATAATTGAAATTATATCATTGTGAAAAAAAGTTTCCACAAAGTTAAAATAATAGTATAATACAATATATTAAAATTTTATTATTAAAAACCAAATAAAGATAATAAAACATGATACAGTGTTATTCACTGGGTTTTCGATTCCCACCATTTTCAATAATTATTAAGTCAGTTTATTAATTATTTAGTCAAAAAAAATTATTTCGTCACATATTTTAATTAAACACCACCTACAATTATTAGTCCAGCATAAATGATAAATAGATCATTCAAAAAATATTAATACCATCACAAATAATTTCAATATTATAATTTTTATATTTCATTCACAAAAATAAATAGAAGCACCACAAACTTATATGTTCACGTCATTTAGAATTATTAAGGTTTTTTCTGAATTATTTTACTTTCAACAAAGAAAATAAAAACCAACATTAAAACTATAAAAAACAATGAACCGAGCATCAGCGGATTATGTTGATATCACAGACCCAGGTGCACGGGCTGACTATATACAGTTGGCGCCTACACCTCTACCTGGTACTCCGCTTCAATCATTTGCAACCCAACCATTCATCCCGCCTCCAATACAACCAAATCCAAGAGGAAGACCAAAGAGATTTGGGCCAGAACATTCAGAACACCGAAAGCACCAATACACCAAAATTGGTTTAAAGCTCAAGCAACGGCTTGTTGAAGAGTTTAGGAAGAAACCTGACCAGAAACCTGAAGATTTTTCACAGACCATTGGAATACCTATTCACAACTGCACCGCTTTGTTGACGAAGTTGAGGAAAGGGGAAAGTATATATCCTTTGAACCATTACAACCGCAAAAGCCGCATTACTCCTTTCATTCACCTTGTTAAGCAGCATCTCAAAAATTCGGCGACATCTTCCATTGAGAAAACCAGAAGGAAAATGGTTGAAGTTGTCATAGTTGAAGGGATCAAAAACATGGAGGATGTAGAGTTTTTAGATGTCTCCACTCTTTTGACATCAACAGAAAGATATAGGCATTTGAAAGAAGATGAAACTAACCACAACCTATTTGAAGAAGCGTTATTAGAAGCAGAAATGGCCGTTCCATCCGAATCAACCTTTTTAAGAATGGTCAAAGGACAAATCAAAGGAGAAGAATTCAAGGATTTTCCTTCTCTTTCCTTTAAGAGAGTAACTAATAGAGGGCCAAACGCAAACACAGAGGAAAACAAAGAAAACGCATCGCAGCTGTCAATGAATTAAACGGGAAACTGAACGCAGGATATACATGGGTTTGTGTGGATGAAACTGCCTGGGCAATCGCATGTACATCAGTGTATGAGTGGAGCGAAATTGGGCAGAAGTGTTTCTTGACAAAATTAAAAACGGAATGCATCTTTCTTGCACTGCAGCGATTGATAGTGGAGGATGTCTTATTGTGAC